TTTTTTTTTTCCCCGTGTCCTGATTTTGGTGCCGATATTTGTAGTTTACGTAAAATTATGTATTGACATGGTGCACATTGTTGTTTCAAGAAAAAAGAAATAAGAAAGAAAAAAAAAAGGAAAAGGGAAATTGTTTAGTCAGTGATGATGATGATGATGATGATGATGATGATGATGATGATGATGATGATAATGATGATGTTGTTGTCGTTTGCAGAACCACAGCTGAGGGTTACAACCAGATGTCCCAAGACGATGAGCTCTCCTTCCTCACAGTAACCGTAGAAGATGTACGTGAAAGATCTTTGACCTTTTAACTTTATTTAATATATTCATAAAAGTATACTTTGACCACCTCTACACCCTTACTGGCCTTGCCAGTGATAGTTCTACTTTTTTGTTATACCGAAAGAAAAAACAATCACCTCGTTTTTGGTGGCCTAATGGTTATGCTACTGCACTTGCCATCGTGGGGTGGCGGCTTTGGGGTTAAACTCTCAGCTTGGTCCGATGGTGCGTCCCCTAGCAAGGAACTTTACACAAATTAAATGATTAATTATGTGCGCCTTTAGATCAGTCCTATTCATACTTTTTTATATACATACACACAGATAACATGTGAGGCACGCTGACAAAATGAGTTACTTCTCGCAATCAACAAAAGAAGATATTGGCCAAAAATCAACGTTAGGTCAAATTTGTAGATTTTCTGTTGATGGCGTTTTCTTTAGTTATAACATGATTTTTAAAAGAAATTCATACTTATTATAAATTGTAAAGACTTCACCTATAAACGTGATATTATATCTCTATTTCCTTAAGGCTTGAATCAGAGAAGTAACTCATTTTGTCAGCACGCTTCACAATTATTAATTATGTGCGCCTTTAGCTCAGTCCTACGCAGTCTGCTGTCTGCCCACTATATGACTACCCCTCAGAGACAGCAGAACATCATCTGCTCTTCTGTAGAAAACTAACTTATTTAATTAATTAAGGGGATGTTTTCTTAGCAAGCTACCCCACCCATCTAACTGCCTCTGCTCCTCAAGACAACAATTAGAACAGACATGCAGTTATAACAGAATGGCATCATGCAGAAGAGTTAATACTCAGATGCCACTGGATCACTAACAACAACAACAGCTCAGTCCTATTACTGAAGATGCACCTTCAATTCGGAGGTCCCTCAGTGGGTGGTTTGCGGGTGCTCGGGTGTGGTTGCTCCTTCTTTCTTATCAAACATCTATATAATTGTCCTTATCTCTCCTCCCTCTTTTTTCTCTTTGTTACTCTCTTGTAACACCTCTAATCTTCCACACTTATATATTACGACCTTATTGTGTTGCAAGTGTCGCAAAACTTCCACAACCTTACAGTTTCGCAGGGGGTGTGTTTAAATATGCACAATTACAGACACATTTTCACAAAATGTTTCATTTCACCTCCACCACCACCCCACCCCCAAATTGCTTTTCACCATGTTAGCCAAGTGAAGAGGACGAGGGTGTTTATTCCTGTCGTTTCATCTATTTGGACTTGGACTATCAAGTCAAGACTCTCTCTGCCAGTGTCAACGTCACTGTCAAAGGTAACTTTTTTGTTTATTATTTTATATGACACACACTCACACACACACACACACACAC